TCTCTCTCTCTCTCTCTCTCTCTCTCTCTCTATCTATCTATCTCTTCCGTGCGTCTGCACGCCATGTGTGTGTGTGTAGATCCAGATCATGGGTCTTTGCGAGCACCTCAACACACCTGTGAAGATCGAGTATCTAGACGGGCAAGATTTCTCTGGGCAACTGGGGAGCATCACCCTCCCCGACACTGGCGCGGAAGCGATGGTCACGCTGCTTTACAGGTGCTACATGATCGTCGTGCTTCAGGCCGCTGATTCGTTGAGACAACACCAACAATAACGTATAACCTGTTGTGCCAGTAAATGTCGTTCTTCAGGCCACTGATTTATTAAGACAACAGCTACAACAAAAACATCAACAACGTATGCATACCTCGTGTTCGAAATTTGAGACCGTTCGGATACAAATGTGATCATCCCAACGGTCCTATGCTATATTTCCAGACAGAAGTGGTAGAAGGTAGCTTGATGACTGCTCCCATCATGGCTTTTTTCGAGGTTGGGTCTTGATAGTCATTCCGATGTTCACGGAGGGCACCCCCGCGACATGTACGTGTCATCGTCTCTTCGGAGAAGCAGGGGCGCGCCGTTAGCAGCAGTTCCTGCGACAGCTACGGTTTATGAAAGATTGTTCGAGAGAAAAGGAAGGGAGTGTTCTAGCTTGTGTACTGCAAAGGGGCAACTCCGGCGTTCGGCCGCTCTCTAATCTGGGTGCAATCTTCAACGCCGCGCTGCGAATCTCTTGCTGTTTGCCCCCTGCCTCTAAGCCGCGCCGTAAGGAATAGCCTTCGTGAGACATTCTCATATATATAATGAGGAAATAGAAGACGGAGGGGGTACGCAGAACCTATTCCCTAACCCTAACCCTAACCCAACTTCCCCGATTGCATGCTTCAACAAACGTGTTTGCTTGTTGGAAATGCTATAGACTGCGTTATGACGCCACTGCTGTTGTTGTTCCGCACGTNCCCCCCTCCCCCCTGTTCCCTCCTGGAACACAACGCAGGCCTGGGCACTACGATGTCCTCTACCCGATGACCAACCAATGATTGGGAACCCATCCTGGTGTCCCGAAACTTTAATTTCTTTGTTGTTGTCACCGTAGACAAGGCGGCGCCCCCAACGCACGGCAGGACAGTCTTGTCTCTTTGACACAGTTTTCAATACGAGAAGCAGGAGGGGTGGGGGGTCGAGGATTAGGGGATGAATGGAATCGATCACATTTTCTTGATCGCAAGACGATCATGCGCACCCCTTCACGGACCTTGGAAAAATTCCCGGTAGTGTTGGGGCAGACAGACAGCAACAGACGATGCAGGGAAAGAGAGGCCACCACACGACTGACTTGTACCTCAAGTTTTTTTTTGTTCCATGTTAACCCCCCGGGTCAACGTAGGAGTAGACAGACAGCAGTGGAAGTGGATTCAGCCGCGATGCTGCCTGCGACAGAGCATTTGTTTGACCGAGTACTTGGCGCGTCACTCATATTTTATTCTTTTGTACATTGTACTTTGGTCCGTGTGTTGATACAGACAGTATTGCTGCCGAAGGCTGAGGGTACAGTAAAAGTGTGCGCAGGTTACGATTGCTCTCTCTCTCTTTCTCTCGCAGCTAGCTAAGCATTCTAGCGTCCTCCTGGAGGTTGTCGCGGCCGTTTTGTTTTCAGCCGTGCCGTGCCGTGCCGTGCCGTGCCTTGCCTTGCGTATGTAGGTCTGTGCCTCAATCTTCGTCTCGCGCCTCTCCCCTCCTCCCCTCTCCTCTCCTTTCGCGCCTTCTCATTAGTCGAGCAGTTGGAAGATTTTATTTGGGGTAAATGTTGGTGCTTGTTAGTAATGTAGTAGGATGGGTTTCGGTGTGTTCGTGTTTTTTTTTTGTCGCCAGCGGTGAAAACCACCACCACCTGGCGGTTTTGCCGCCAGGACTGACGTGTTGCTCGTTTCTGCTCCACGATTAAATGAATGTAGTCAAGATTGCCCCCGGTGTGTTTCGTGTATTTTTTCGTGTTTTTATTAAACGAAAACCTAGGCGCCGTGGTTTCGCTGCGATTTCATTTATGTTGTACAATGTTTGGTGGTGAATTGCGTTGCGTCTTGTGGGAGTACATAACCCCTTCTTGGAATCGAATCAAGGCATGACGACCCACTGTACCCAGCGCCGTCTGGTCAGCTTGCGGTGCACCGCATCATGACATCAGCATCACCCTTGCTTTCCCTTGAGGATCCACACAACAGTGACAGTCGTGCCTCCGATGCGAAAGGGTGCCTCATAAGAGGGGGCTCCGACATGAGTGGAAGGGTCGAGGGCCTCTGTCATACCACCCTCTTATATCAAGAGTCAAGGCTGCACTCGAGTTGTCCCCAGCTGATAGAGCGGCGGCGCCGAAAACAGTGGCGTTGGAGCCGTCTCGTCGAGAGATGGTTTTGACAAAACGCTCCATCTCACATACAGTATGTACAAATGCATCATCGTCGTCGTGACGAAACTTTGAAAAGCGACCCCAAGGGTATGAGTTATCTTGAGTCGTGTCATGTCATGTCACCGACGGTATGTAGCTCATCCCTGTTTCGCTGTGGCTTCTCTCGAAAGAACGAGAGGTAGTAGTTAATTAATGAGAGCGCTCCCGCCACGTAAAACAATCATACGCATAGGATAGCCATCGGCGAGCTCGCAAGAAAAACCTGCGATACAACCGAGGGGGGCGCTATTATGAGGAAGGCGTTTCGTAATCCCGGACAAAAAGGAAAAGCTGTCTCCCCGCATTTCAATTTTATTTGGTGGACCACTTTGGCCATGTAGCTGTCAAGACGTGCAGGTATGCATATCATCTGATGAACCGCGTAGGCTGGGCTAGGAGTAAAGATCGAGGTCATGTGACGGACCCCACTCCATCGTATTTGAAGTAGCAACCATGATACGAGTCCTGACGCACCATGTATCATGTTGATCGCTGCCGTAGTGCCAGCCTGTCGTTGGAGTCAAAACCAACTCTCTGACCCATTTTGCGACGAATTAGAGTCGTTTCTTGACAGATAGTCTAGTTCCCCGAGAACCAACCCGACTCAACACGCACGTCATTGAGGGTGGCCAACAAGGCCAACACTGCTGTCTCCATCGAATGCATACGCCGAAACAGGCTCCCGAAGATAAATACTGTCCCAGTCAAGACCGCCTCATGAACAGAAACTCTCTGCACAAAAATAAACAAAAGTGCTGTACACAAAACGACCCCTCCCCACCCAGCCCTAAAAATCTAAAATCAAATCCTAATCTAGACTCAAGTCGGCTAGTTCCTTCGGTACATCCCCGCTCCCGGCGGTACTATCCCTTTTAACGCTACTTCTTCTCTTCTTGGTGGGAGTCTTCTCAGCAGGCTGCTTGTAGCTGGGTTTTCGCTTTTTCGCTTTGGTCGCCGCCCGTATGTTGTTTATCTTCTTGCGCTTCATGCTGGGCGCGGAACGTGCCTCCATGGCGATGATCGTGAGAGCTTTCATCTTCAGGTCTTCCGAAGGGCAGTCGAAGAACCTCGAGCGGATGGCTGTCATGTCAAACCAAACCTGACGGTTGTTGTCGGTGATAGGGGGAAGGAAGTGGTGACGGGGGTACACAGCGATTGATGCGCGATAGTTACGGTGGTGACCCTACGGCGATGGGAATAATGGTTTTCAAAAGACGCCAAGCGATCAAGACGGTGTGCGAGAAAGAAGAGAGACAGGGGTAGGGAGAAAGGGGTAACCATTGTGGTACATATCTAGCGATTCACATAGACTTGTACATGCATGAAAACAATGCGTGCGTGTACTTCATGTGACTGGTACACATTTGTCTTGTAGAAGTTTTTTTCATTCCTTGTGTGTTGTTTGCTCCGTCCGTGTGCGCATAAATATTAACAATGTATCCGCCAAGATCCACCAATCCACCAGGCAAGAGAAAAGCATAATTTTCACGTTCATGCACCGTGTTCCGCCCTTTTCCATCCCATCCCACACACCGCACCTCTTCCGCGAAGATGTCCCGCAAGATCTCCAGCGCCGCGTCCCACTTCCCCACCACGGCGCAAATTTCGATCAGCGTGTCCCAAGTCTCCTGGTCCGCCCTTCGGCCCGACTTCTGAAGGTCGAAGAGGGTCGTCAGAGCCATGTTGAACTCCTTGCCCACGAGGCAGGCCTTGATGATCGACTTGTACGTCTCTAGTTCCGGCTGCAGACCGTAGTACCTGCGGAGTTTACGGTGGTTCAATTCAATGAGCAGCGGGGACCATACACCATCGGATGCATCGGTTGGGGGCGAGGGGGGGGGCACTCTGGACAGGAAGACATGGAAGGAGCGGGATGATAAAAACGAATGGCAGGTTCTTCCCTAAAGGGCGTGTTGCGTAGAGCCAAAATTGGTGCTGGTCCCGATGAAACTAGTTGCAGGTGGTGACGACACCGTTGGAGACCTCGTGCTGTACCAGCGAAACAGTTTCCGACAACGCTGAGATATTATTTCTATACATACGTATCGCCTACGCATAACTCAAGAGACTCAAAGAGCAAGACTTTGTCGCGTGCTGCAGCACGAAACAAGACAATCGCCGCCTCGAATCGAGGCAGCGACACCTCGGGATTTGCCGACGGCCTCCGAAGAGGAGCGTGTGTGTGCTTATATCCAAAGCAGATGTTGCGTCTCGTTGGAGAAAGAAGGGTGGCCGTAACACCCTCACAGCGCCAACCACCCACTACATGGACGAGCCGTTCCGCTCCTCGAGCGTTGCGATGAGAAGATGAGAAGTCCTTCCCACACCGCAAAAGGACATCAAACGTGACACGGGACAAACGACATATGACATATGACTCATGACTCACGACTCACCCCATGAGCTTTCGTGCCGTGGACGCCGGAAGCCACTCGCCCACCTCCGCACAGGCCGCTATTGCCGCAGCAAAGCACCCCTCCGACGGCGGTACCTATGCATATCATATCATTCATCATATGTCCATTAGCGTATGTCCAGTCGGTAGGTAAGTATCATCGTCAATCTCCCTTTCAACGTGGATCAATCAAAACGATCAGGGTCTTGCCATGATATCGTTTCGACATTTCAACGTGTATCATTGACATGATTTATATTATTCCAGTGTGGTGATCACCGGGTATACCACATTGGTCGATTAACCACGGAACAACAAGGGGTACACCTCAAACACATGGGTACACGCGCCAACAAAAGCGGGTACTACACAGTATACGAACGTAGTTTTTTTGCATTCCGGGACAATACACCCTGCGGTTGTGTTCACAAAATGGGGTGCTCCAACAAGCTCCCCTCTTCCCAGCCCGCTTTCGATAACCCTAGTTAACCTAACCATAACCCTAACCCTGTTCCGGTGGGCAAACAAAACAAACCAGTTTGAGTGTGCTGCGGAAGGACGAACGACCTGGCGCGTGGCGCTAGCAGTGACTTAGAGGCGTTCACCGGGCCTCAGGCACAGCGCCCCGCACCCAACAAAAGGCAACCCCACGTGTTTGTGTGCTTGTTGCTCTTCCGCTGGGGTAAACACCACACCTCACTGCTGTGTCAATACCCCTAACAAAAAACAGGTTTCGTCGACAACGCCTCCTCAAGAGCGGTGGTAAGGAGCATCATATGCATATGTATAGCATCATCATCACCCTGGGACACTGAGAGCACAAATCAGGACAACAAAAAGTTGAGAACCCTCCCTAACCCATGTCCAGACAAAAGGCAACTCGACTTGACAAGCCTTTCAGTTATCTTCTCCTACGCCCTACCGGTGCTCGTGCCTCGACAACGCGTGGTCACGATCACCTGACCTATCAGCACAGATACCCAACACCGTTAGCAGGATGCAGCGCACCCTCCATGCGACTCGCCGAATACGCCACAGCGCTTCGCGCTCGTATTTTTTGTTTTTTTTTGTCTCCCATCATTGGACTCTGTGGTCTACCCCTCTGGCCCCTATCCTCCACTTCTACCAGCTAGACGACCCAACCGGGGTCACATACGAGGGGAGGTTTGGACCGCTTCCTGCGGTTCCTGCCTGAGATATTTTTATCGCGAGAAGGGTACAGCAATCCCTTCCCTCGCGACTTATGAAGTCGATCAAGTTTACTAACAACGAGCTTTGCAGCGCGTCGCTTCCAACGGAGGCCAGGATTTAATCAGCGAGAAAGAACTCACTCTGTCGGGACTCGAACCCATGACCTGGCCCTTAGCAGGCTGCAAGGCTACCCACTAGACCACCGGGGCGACCGGGGATGTAACAGCCTGGTTCCGTGCGAACCCGGCGCGCTCCGTCCCGGTTTTGTAGGGATGCGAGGTGAATGGTCAAACGACTACGGCATGCACGGCCTGAGTACCTCCCCCCCCCCCCCCC